AATAAAAAAGCATTTAGGACATTCTTTATCCTGATAAGTTGCTATTATACCTATTATCTTGTTAATTTTACTCAGGAAATAGAAAAGAATGGATGAGAATGCAATAAACGTCAGTGCTTTGCCAGAAGTTTGTTCCTTTACTGGTAATTGTGAGTGCAAATATCTATACATTCATTCAATGAAATAATATATAATAAAAGACTCCAGATTTCTGGTAACTTTGGTGTTAGTGGTATTATTCTAAGGCAATTTCCAGCAAAATGTAACCCCATGTTATTAATGCAGGTCGTTTGTAATAATTGCATTCCTCTGATGTGCAGTTTTAGACCAGTGAGTGTGCTCACTAAACACTACATGATAACTTAAAACCTTTGAAGAGCAATTGTGCTTCTTTGTGTTTGATAGCTGCTGTGATAAAAATCTTCATGTGGATGTAACATGTTAATACAAGGCAGAAAATACACCATTGCAAAACATGAAATTTTGTATTATCTGACTTTATTTCTGTCTCTGTGTAAATTCCCTCAGCAAATTTTACATAACCCTTCTCCTTATTTGTTTCTGAATTAACAATCCAACCTGACAGTACAATTTCAATCCATTACTCTAGTTAAACTCATCACTCAAGAAGTACAAATATTGACTCATGAGAAAATGTGTTAGTAGAAAGAGATGATGCTCTTTAAATAGAAAACAACCAAAAATTGAAATATCATGGGTTTTTTTTCCAATGCATAATACAATTATGCAGCTCACACCTTTTTGAAAAATACTGCATATTGTAGCTTTTCTCAGTTTTTACAAGTCATTCTAAATGGAATCCTTTTGGTTTTTCTTTCACTGCTTGTATTGGTTAGGGCTGAGCTGAAGTTCATTTTCCCACAGCAGCTCTCACAGTGCCGTGCAGTTTGGTGGCACCTGGCACCTGTCAACCCACCACAGTGCTTCATGTTGTTATACATCTGACAACTTTACCTGTTCAAACTTCATTGGCTGGTGACAATCCATGCTTAGGAATCCAAAAGTGGTTTGGCGACTTTTCTTTTTTTTTTTTTTTTTATATAATCAGATATTTTTGTGCCAACACTTGATCATCCACACACAGAAAAATCTTTGATCTTCATATGTGTTGACAATACATATCACCTTGCTAAAAGTAAATACTAATTCTGGAAATGAAATTTTTTCATGGGATGTACTAATTTCAAAAAATTGTTCTCTTCAAAAGATTTTCAGCTCCATAAAAGACAAGGATATGAGAGAAAAGAGCTCAGATTAGGACAGTCTTTATTAAGGGTGAGATCCCCCTAGCCTCTCAATTAACAATAGCCTATAAGAATGTTATTGTTAAAAATTAGTTCAATATTTAGACTAAGGGTGGCATTCACAGCAAGAACTTTTATTTTTCTTATTAATTTTTAATAGAATTGAAATGTTCTGAACTGAGTGAACTATGAATAGTGAAGTCATGTAGACCTTCCAAAGACACCTGAATAACACCTCACATTAGCATTCAGGAATTAGGAAGAATACTCTTGTGTGTAAATAAAACCTGAAATCCTACTCAGACATAAGGGATGTCTTACTTTACTGAGGTAACAGAATGTAGATGAGAGTTTAAAAGAATTTAACAGATGGCAGACATCATAATGGAGATTTTATTGCCAGCTTTAAGTAGTTTTTGTCCCAGAATATGCCACCAGGATCAGATTTAACAATGAGAAAAGCAACTATACTGAAGTGGGTGAAGGAGCAGAAAGAGGAGAAAAGATATTTGAGATTTGAGAATGTAGTATAATGTCAAGCAAGAGACATAGACTGGTTTATTTATATAGAGATCACAACATAAAGCCTTTTCCAAGGTATTTTACCTCTACAGCATGATTTGAACAAGAAAATAATAATCTACAGATTAAGAAGCCTGTGAAATAAAACATTTCGGAGGCATCTTTCTTCAAAGAGGACGAATATCAGGTGAGATTAAAGAAAAAAAAGGTAGGAGAAAAGGTTTGCCCATATATATCGTAAGCACAAAGATATCCTTGATTTTTCTGCATATTTGAGCCCTGAACTAGGAGATCTCTGGCTGCAGTAAAGAAACTTGTGTCTTGCATGTTAAAATGAGCAAAGAAAGACAAACTAGTGGTAGAGCACTTTTCAGAGAATCGGTGGTCTTGCTAGAAGAATTATGAGAATTTTGATGAGTGGTATTGAGAACCTCAGTGGAGTGATATTTGGATTAGCCCTTCCACACAGAGATATTTGAAAACAGATTCAAATCAATATGTAGGTGATAAGTATTTGTTGTTATTACTGCTGCATTCTGCAGGGATTTTCGAAGAGGTAATTCATTGTGACGCATGAAATAGTCCTGTGGGAGCTCCCGGGTTAGAGGAGAATAAAACTAGCAAATGAAGTGTCAAGACTTTATACTACTGTTTATTTTATACATTTAAAGTACACATTCCTTTCTAGTACCCTTTCTGCAAATAACTGCACTGATTTACCGTATTTTAAAAGTACTTATGAAAGAGCAAACCAGTCAGCACAATTGTAGAACTTTGAAACATTGAAAATAATGTAATGATTGATTGCTTGATAGGAAAACTAGATTTTTTCAAAATATAATGCATTTTAAACATTTTTGTAATGCAAGGCTATCGCTTCTGTGTTACAAATACCAGATCTCTTCACTGGCCTTCTAAAGCCTAAAGGCTGTCACCACACATTTGTCAGTCTTCAGCACCAAATGAAATCAATTCTTACATCTCTAGCACTGAGTGTGGAAACAAGTAATCTTTCACTTCACAAGCTATGTGCACACATAAAATTGGTAGTACAAGTTAGTTTTGGCAGAAGTATGTCCCCTCCCTTCCTCTCTGTTCCTTCTGGGTCTGAGTATCAGACACACATCCAAAAGGCAATGATATGGCATAAAAAAAAAAGTTGGATGTGTCTTTATTTTTATACACAGCAATGTGATAAAAGAGGGTGGTTCTGTATCATACTTTAATTACCTTATTAAGATCATTAATTTGTTGCACACAGGATTATCTTCTTGCTGAAAAATGTCTGCAGAAGCTACCAAAAAGAGAGCCTGGGCTATGGCTAGGACCTCTAAACTCAACTATGGAAAAAAAATACCCCTTTCTTTCCTGGCTGGTTATGAGAGAAAGCAAAGTTGTCCAGAGGTAAAAAAATGCAGAAAGTTTTCTTCATAAGGAAAAATAACACTAACTGTATGACTCCATAGAGAAGCTAATGCTGGGAATCAAATACATTGTGGTCAACTTGTAGGCTTACCTGAAATTCAGACACTTTTCAAGGAGCTGTAAGCAATATCATCACAGTGAATCAAAATTTTCAGTTTAAAAACAAGGAGTTTAAAATCTTACTTAGCTTTTAATTTATACCAGCCACCCAAAGCTCAAGAAAATTACACAAAATTATACCTATTGCATAAATAGATGTAAAATATAGATATTAAAAATATAAGCCTAAATTCTTATGTTTCTATTTTTTTTCAACTCTAGTTCCTTATATAAAATCTTAAAAAGATGATTTTGTTTTCTGACTAAAATATATTGTTCTCCACTTTAAATCAAACTTTAAATTTCCAAAGTCCTATTCATATATCACAGTGATGAGATAGAAGAATTTTTCAAACACCTGTTTCATTTATCTTAAACATACACTTTAAAAGATACTTAAAGACACAAGCGATTTCTAAAAAAAAAAAAAAAAAATTTCTTGACCTATATTTTAACAAAATTCTACAAAATGGAATATTTTAATTGTTCTGTTTGACAGTCTATACCTGACGCCCCAGAACAAAGTAGGACTCTTTCTGGTACACATTAAAGACAATTTTTGAGTTGAATTCCAGAAAGGAAATGCATGTCAGCATAAATCCATGAAATCACAACCACTCATGGAAGGTACTAGTAGCTCAAGATTTATGAACAAGTCAAAATATCAAACAGTATATATTCATATTTTTGTTCTATAATATCTTAGAAAAAGTTCAAACGAAACAGAATTACATGCAGATTTCCCTATGCCCAACACACACAGCTTATAGTTCTAGCAATTCAGAAGATGTAGTATAAAGAGAATATGAAAGCTAATTATAATTTTGACATTTTGAAAAGATTGCACTAAATATATCAATATGAAGAAAATTCTAATGCAGTAGAAGAGAGTGAAATTAAATATACTGTTCTTGAAATTCTTTAGTCATTTAATACTTTCTAAATAGTTCTAGTCACATTCTAAGACTAATTTATAGTCCTTCAATACCACAGTGTGTCATTATCAAATAGATATAAGATATATACAGCATTACAAAGAACATCTGGTTTTAAGTATTTGAACTCCTAACTTCTTTCTCCAAAGTTAAACCTCCAAGGGCACTCTAAGGAAGTAAATGTCCAAACTTTTTTGGATCTTGTTCAAAATCCCATCTAGACTTCTACTACGACTTGAAAATGTATAGACTAATTGTCAGTGCAAGAGGATCTTATGCTGATTCCAAACTGACTTGTTAAGGCATGTCCCAGAATGTTCTGTCACATTTTTCCAGCAGTTCAAAAAGAAATGGGAAACTACAGGTCCTCTACATCCACTTTTTTAAATTGCCTCTTTACTAAATTGCCTCTTTTACTAAAAAGGACCTAGGTTCACATCTAAGCCTGAAAACAGGCAGCACCCTCAAATTCAGTGAATATAGATAATGAAAAATGCAGAAAAAAATACAAAATGTAGAAATGGAGTTTAAATTTAAAAATTCATCTATTGCCACCATGTCTGCCTATATATCTACACTTGGAAGAGAAATAACACATGCTGAAAAATTTCCTGATTCAGAGAAGTAGAAACTTACATTGGTTATGGTTGGAGTTCCATGCCATCCAAGTGCACAACCACGGGATTTTTAATAAAAGTTATTACAAATGTGTTTCAGAGAATAAACAAAACAAACAAACAAAAAATTGCAACCAAACAAACCCCCAAACTACATAAAAACAAATCTGCAAGAAAAGTGGAAAGATGCATAAGAAACAACAGTGGAATTATTGTTGAGTGTTATAGTACATTGGTTCCAATAGTTCTCCATGAAATGCAGCTATATGCACTAAACCTCATAGTTTTCCACAGTTCCATCAAAAATTTGTACCATTTCTCTTTTTAACTGCCAAATCTCTTATGTTAATGGAATAACTCAGAGGGATATGTCACTTTACACCTATTATTTGACTAAAATACTGTGTTAAGTCTGTGTTATGCCAAGTACATTTTAACGCGTGTCACGATGAAGCTGATACTCATATTGATACCATGCTCACAGAAATCCTATCATTACAGGCTTATTCCTGTAAATCTTGGAAACACTACACGGACAACTTTTCCCATCTTTTCCGAGACAATTCAGTGGTATGTATTAGTGGAAAATATGTCAATTCACTACTTAAATGCATGAACGAGACAGAATTTTAGACTTACGGTCTGTAATTTTCAGGACTCTTTTGAATTCTCCACTTCCAGATCCTCCACAACCATCTTCATCATCACAATCACCACTGATTTGTTCATCTACACCTCCACCACTGCCTGTTTGTTGGACATCCCATTTGTCATATTTTGGAAATGATTTGCCCTGCAACAGCTAAAGACAAAATATAGTACGCAAGTTAGCAGTACATATAGAGAGCTTCAGTGGGTACCCAATATTTTATTACCTAATTTGAAAAGGAAATTTCAGGGTCGACAGAATGAGAATTCTGATTATTTTTTTAAAATTTTCTTTTAACCTTAACTTACAGATAAATTTAAAAGAGTGGTACTTGGAGATGTATAGCACAGTTTTAATTAAAACCCTCAAAATGTCTTTATCGCGATAAAAGAAAGTCAGGTACCAATTTCTGGCCCAGAACCCAAATGAAATGGATAAGTACATAGAATCATAGAAAAGTTTGGACTGGAAGGGACCTTTAAAGACCATCTAGTCCAAATTCCCCTGCAACGAGCAGGGACATCTTCAAATAGATCAGGTTGCTCAGAGCCCCACCCAATCTGATTTTGAATATTTCCAGGGCTGGGTCATCTACCTCCTTCCTGGGAAACCTGTTCCAGCATCTCACCACCCTCATTAAAAAAAACCTTCTTCCTTATATGTTCTCTAAATCAAACCTCCTTCAGGTTAAAATTGTTGCCCTTATTTCTACCAAAACAGACCCCACTAAGATGTTTGTTGCCCTTTCTTATAGTCCCATTTAGAGCCGACAGCATCTGTGCTACTTAACAGCTGGACCTGGATCTTTTAAAGACTCATGTGGTGTCTACAGATACTTAAGATACATTTATTATTTTATGTGAATTTTTCACATCATACTTGTCTGCTCTGGGTGTGTCAAACAGAAACCTGGTAGAAGCTGAAGATTAAAAAAAGAAGTGTTGTAATGATATCAAATGCATGACCAAGGAACAGCAGACCAAATTAGTACAGTCAGAGGCAGGGCTAGCATGGAGAGAACTATTTCCAAAGGACATCCAGGCACTACTTCGGTAGAACTAATAAAAGTGAAGTAAAATAAAACAAAGGGATACTGGCCTAAGCAGTGTAGACAATTTGGTTCCAGTAAATAAGATTGTTCTCTGGCCCCTTTTTATTTCTCACCATACAGATGGCCAATCTGCATGGTTTATAAGAAAACAGCAAAGATTTGTTTAACACATTTCTCCACTCTGTTGAGCAGAGCTGAGCAATCACCTGAATAATGTTAATCTCTCTCATTTATCAAATGTACAAGTGTTGTCATACAGTTTTTAAATACTTGGTGGTACAACTGTCATATATACACAAACAATGTGCCCTCTTCCCTATTTAGATTCAGTTCAGTTTATCTGTCAGATAAATATAGACACCATAACCTATAAAAGCCCGGGTTCTTACAAACGTTAGTAATTCTTATAACCTCATCTCATCCAAAACACCAATTTGTACATGTTTGTGCATTACTCATGCTTCAATCTAGGAAGACTTCTTTATGCTGGCCAAAACTTTGTTGTCTCAGATTCTTTAATTTAATATTCAGATAGTACTTTCTCCTTAAAGAAGACATTAATTAGTTAGAAACAGACTCAGTTGTTTTATACCTTCAGAAACGTGTTTACTTTGTTGTTTAACAAGGTACTGGGTTCATATATTCAACCTATATACTGAGTTTATTTTCAGATTATGGAGTCACTTCCTAGACAACTTAATCTGTTAAGAGCTGTACAGTGCCCAACAAAAAATATTTTAATCACTACTATGAGATCATTCAGATAAATCTCAGTGCTTCTATAAAATCTACGTGCTCCTCTGTGTAAGAAGAGGAGAATGCCACTCACCACTGAATTAGCAAAACCAGTTTATGCAGCATTTTTAATTCAAAAGTTTTATTAGTCATTTATATGCTACCTGAAAAACAAACTACCTAGCTAAGAGGAAAAAAAAGCTCCTTGGTACTACTGCTCTGCTCCCTCCTCATTGTGTAATCCATGCCATACTTGTACAAAATAGTATTTATTGAAACAAAACACAGACTGTTTAATGAACTGCATCAGTTAAAGACCACACTTATTTTTCCCCCCAGTTCATATTGTGACACATTCCAAGGGGCAGTTGTATGATAAGGTACTCTTTATCCCTGTGATCTGTGGCATAAATGTAGGCAGGAACTTCCAGCAAGACAGTTTTTCAAACAAAATGTGTTGCCAGATTTTCTACAGTATACCATATACATATAAAACCATATATACCATATATATCATGTGTGTGTGTATATATATATATACACCTATGTGTGTGTGTTTATATACATATATACACACATTTTTTCAGCCTGAGAACATGCATCCTCCACTATATCTCTTCTCAGTCTTAGACTAAATAAGGTTTTATATTTTGTTGCTTCTTTAAATTTCAGTGCAACTTATTTATTTCTCTTTCCTCTCTTTTTCTTCCTTTTTTTATTATTATGCATTATGACTTATGACTAGAAACCTAAAAATAATGATGATCCCACGTAAATGCTTTAAAGGTAGGTTCAATATTGAAAAAGTGCTCTTTAACTTTTTCCAAACTTTTCACTGTACTTGAAAAAGTAGAGATTAAATAATGAGTAAGCTCATTTGTTATTTGGACTTCGTTATTCTTTTCAGTCTCCTTAATTGTACAAGAAGAAATATTGTCTCCATATAAGTTCACAAGTCTCAGTGCTGGTTCTCTACTAAGCAAGACTTGCATCTAGTATAAATTCTTTATTAAACAGAAATCCATATAGTTTTTCAAAGCTAAATTAATTCACACTATAAATAAAGATAAAAGTTGTTTAAATGAATTGTTCTCTTCTGCTGCACTTTTTACAAAGCTATTCTTTAAAAGGAAAATCAGTACACGTTATAACTAGAAAATTTTATTGTAATATACTCTTTCAGCTGAACGAGGAGGGAGGGTTACTAGCTGTATACTATCTGCACCCCAAAAAAGTACAAGGACTCTTTTCCTGTTGTGTCATAGTGCAAAATAGTCTTTTCTCTTTTCATTGTGCCTAAAACTTTTTTCACTCTATCAAATTTTTGTCTCAAAAACCCCAAAACCCCAAACCCCATGAGTTTAATCACACATTATTGTCTTTCAACTTCCAAGAAGGAGGCAGAAAATATTACTGGTAACCATGTTAAATTGAGTGAGTTATGTCAAGGGTTAGTTCACCACTGTTCTGAGACTGCAGTAGATACACCAATATTCCAGATTTGCTTATTCTTAATGTCGATGGAAGTTTATTGAACTAAGACTTTGGTATCAAAAGAATGTCCTCTGATGGTGGCATTTTATTTTCCCAAAAAATGTGTGCACCACTACTATGGTACATGTGCGTGGGAGAATGATTTGGATGAAAATGAACTGAAAGGTCCTTGGGAGTCTTCAGCTTCACAGCTTCCCTACATAGCTTTGGGAAGTTTGGCCTCCCCCTTAGATGACAAAATACCTCTCAGGACATTCACTGATGGCTCAGTGGAATGCTTTCTTTGACCCAAAAGCATTTCTGAAAAAGTTTATAATATCAAGAAGTACCATTAATAAATTTTGTGATATTTCACCTTTTAGAATGAAAATATTTGCACTACAGGAGTTACACTGTTTATTAAAGTACTTCCAGGGTTTTGTAAATATATGACTCACTGCTCTGTAAGATTTTGGTAAGAAAATGAACTGCTTACAGCAGCTACAGAGGCACCTTATGAGGGTACTTGAAGCTTCCCAACAAATCTCAGAGACTGAGCATAATTAGGAAAATTATCACTAAGGACGTATGATTATTGTACAGTCCTATAGGGTCTTGTAATCTTTCAAGATTATTTAAGACTTTTACCAATGATCTGGAAAGCAAAATGAAAAACAAAGTGGCAATGATAAATCTTTTACTGCCACAAGAATTGGAGAACTACTAAATAACAAAAAGAAGTGACAAACTAAGAAAATCTCATCTGGCAAGTGAGGCAACTGAGTGAATTTTAAAACACATACAATAATAAAATACAGACAAAAGTAAATTTGCAAGTCTAAATATTGTATTACATGCATATTAAAAGACAAAATATTCTGTTTCATAAATTAATTGTTGGTGTCCTGGGCAGCCAGCAGAATGTGAATTACCCAGAGCAGTGTTCTAGCCAAAGATTTTAATGGGATATCTTTGGGGACAGAAATAGGAATACTAAGTCAGATTAGGGGTGTTATATTACTCCTAAATCCCATTCTCATTGTCTTTGTTCAGAAAGGATGGCCCAGAAGCTAATTCCATTACAGTGATTAAAATGGAACCAAAGATCCTTTTGTTTTAACTACGGAGCTCATCCTTTAGTACACTCAAAAAAACCTCTTGATCTCAAGATTTATTTAACCAGCCTTATAAGCCTTCTAAGTGCCTATATGGCAAATACAGATTTAAAAGATTTGGCAGGCTAAAGCATATGAAAATATAAAATAAATCAATTTTTCTTACTTAAACATACAAAGTGAATAAAAAAATTTATGCTACCAGAATCACACCTTTAAAAAATATTCAGGTTGGTCTATATAAAAGCAATTTTTCAATAACAACCAATAATTATCAACAGTTGTGGCAAGGGGCTTTTTTTTTTTTGTTTGGTTTGGTTTGAGTTTTTTGTTTTTGTTTTGTTTTGTTTTTTTCTGCTTCAAACAGGTTTTGGTCTTAAAGCATGAATTAATTCATAGGTTCAAGGACATGGCAAGTATGAAGTTAAAGTAAAAAACTGGAATGGTCCCTTCTGCCTCTCAAAAATGTATTAATTCATATAAGTAAATCTGAAATGGCAAGAGTGTACTTTATTTTGTATTTTTCTGCTTGCAGGAAGTTACAAGTGATTTAATCTCTGTTGTTGTTTAACTCGGCAGGAACACTAGACATTCACTCGCTCCCCCTCAGTGGGATGAGGAAGAGAATCAGAAAAAGGGCAAAACTCATGGGTTGGGATAAAAGCAGTGTAGTAGGACATAAAAGGAATGGCAAATAACAATAGTAATGATGATGAAAGAATGTGCAAAACAAGGGATGCACGAAGCAATTTCTCACCACCCCCTGAGTGACGACCTGA